AATATTATTAACAAGTATTTATTTAATAATAACATTTAATTTATATAAGATAGTGATTGATTTAACTTCGTGATGATCTTAGGATATAAAATTTAAATAGATTTTTTTCTTTGTAAGGATTTCCTTTTCATTGTAGAAGAATCAAATTAAATTTTAATAAAGTTATAGACATGGTCTCACCATTAATATTTAAAAAAAAAAAAATTATTACCATAATTGCTATATCTTAAAAATAGAACTAAGAAACAGGGGTCAGGTAGGTTAAGTAAAAATATTCAGAACATCCAAAAATCTTGTATAATCTAATATTTAGGCTATTATATTTAACCTCTGTCTTGATCTCAAATTGCATTCTAACTCTAAATTTAATAAAAACTTATATATGGTAATAAACATCACTGGCAATAAATAGTAATTTTAAATTTTTATTAAATAAAAATTATAATCAAAAAATTAACAAAGTTTTAACAATATTCAGAAAATTAAAAAATATAAAAAATAATCTAAATAAATTTGAATATAATTTAAAAAATTTTTATAAAATTAAATTTTTTATACAACTGTTAAAATAGATATCTTTATATAAAGATTTTTTAAAAATTAGTTTATAATAGAAAATTAAATTTAAAAGAATTATTATAAAAATTAATTAAGTTAATAGCAAATTAACAAATCAAAAAGATAGCTAAGCAGAAATATACAAATAATAATCTGGTTAGGTTGGATAATCAGATTACAAGATTTAAACCAATATGCAATAATTTTTAATTTGTTCAAATCAAATATATAGATAAAGTTAGTATCATATAAAAAAGTATATATATTTAAATAAGTTATAATTTAATTAATTGTTTAATTAAGAATTATTAAATAATTACTGATAATAGCTTATTCTTATTTGAATATAAAAGAGTAATTTATGCTATATGATCTTATCTTACTATAGTTAAAAAGCAAGATTCACAAGATAAATATACCAAAAACACAAAACAATCTCAGGACAGAAATAATGACATAGTATTTAAAGGATTAGCAAAAATAATCAAAGCTTCAAACTATCAAAAAATGCAAAATCTAGTAACAAATATAATACAAATAAAAATATATATAGATATATCAATTCAAGTAGCAATAATTATGATAACACAAAATATATAACATTTTATAAACTAACAAGCTAAAACTTAGCAAGAATAGAATATATAACTTATTGCAATAGCTAATCAATAATTTACTTCTATTAAACAGTAATGATATAATAATATATTAAATATATATTTTACAAGCTAACAAAATAAGCAAAGATAACTAATATACAAAAAAATATAGAATTAGTACAATATAATTATCTCTAATACCTGTAATTAATAGCTTAATATTAAAATTAGATCTAAATAAAATCAATTTATTAAAATAGTAGACAAGTCAGAATTAATAATATATAAGATAACTAGTAGAAAGTTTTTATTTTTTATATATAAGTTTAGTAAAAATATATTGATAATTCAAGATTTTAGTAACCAAATAGCTATAGAATCAAAACAAATCTATCTATAGTAGATCATAAATTAATCAAATAGTCAAAAAAGAATTAAAATACTTTTTAAAAAACCTAGTCTACCTAACAAGTTATAAAAGGCTACAATTTTTAGTTTATTTATTGTCGGGGATGATGCTGAAATCAGATGATGCTGAAATTTAGGGGCCTTAATTTGAAAATATAAATCCTACTAAA